GAAGCAGGTATCTGGGGTTTATTTACCTTTTATAATTGAAACTTTGTTGCCTTGAGAGAAGGCAGCAGCTGGCCAGGAAGCTTGGGTTCCTTCATCATTGGGGCAACCAATCCTCCTGCTTGCTCCATCTCTGTGGCTGTCAGCCGTCACCTTGGTTGGGTTAATTTGCATATAGTCGCTCTGATTGGCTGGTGGGCGTGGCTTAAGGCATAGTGAAGGTACAGTCAATTTGCATATTTGTCTTTTATTAGTGTAGATTGGATTTTCTATGCTTTTGCAAATGATTTTTAAAATTTCAATGTCTATTTTTGTATTATATGGAATTTATTTGTGTATATTAACCTCTTGTATCCTGTGAGTTGAGAGTTAATAGTTCCAGTAACCTTATGTAGATTGTTTTAGGTTTTATATAGATGTTGATGTCATCTGTGCATAAAGATAACTTTCTTTTTTTTCTAATCTATATGTACTTTCTTATTATTTTTTTATTGCTCTGCCTGTGTCCCCTGGTATAGTGTTAAATATGAGTGGTAAGAGCAGACATGTTTGTCTTTTCCAGATCTTAGGAAGAACCCTTCAGTTTTTCACCATTTAGTATGTTGTTAGCTGTAGATTATTTTATAGATGCCCTTTTTCAAATTGAAGAAATTCTTTTCTCTTCCTGCTTTTTTCCAAAAAAATTTCTTATTATTGGAATTGAATTAATGCTTTTCTGCATGCAATCCTGTAATTATATGTTTTTCTTCTTTAATCTGTTAATGTGCTGAATTATATTATTTTCAAATGTTGAATTAATCTTATATTCCTGGATACATAACAGTTGGTCGTGATCTGTTTACTTTCTTCATATTGCTGCTGTTTTCTTTTTCTAGCTTTACTAAGCTATAGCTGACATATGACATTGTGTAAGTTTAAGGTATACAACATGATGATCTGATATATGTACTTACTATGAAACAGTTTCCACAATAATGTTAGTTATCACTTCCATTATCTCACAAAATTAACATTGTTTGTGTTGAGAACTTTTAATATTTACTTTCTTAGCCACTGTCAAGTTTACAATACATTATTGTAATTATGTTCACCTTGCTGTACATTGGATCCCCAGTTTATATCCTTTGACTCCTTTATCTCTTTGCCCTGCACTGCTCTACCAATCACCAGTCTCCTCTATGTTTCTGGGAGCTTTTTTTTTTTTTTAGCACCCTCATGTAAGTGAAATCATACAGTATTTATCTATCTAGCTTATTTCACTTAGCACAATGCCCTCTGGGTTAATCCATGTTGTTGCAAATAGCAGGATTTCCTTCTTTCTTATGGATGAATAGTATTCCAGTGTATATGTATATGCATGTGTGCGTGCATGCGTGCGTGTCCAACATTTTCTTTATCTATTAGTCCGTTGATAAACACTTGGGCTGCTTCCATGTTTTGGTTACTGTAAATAATATGGCAGTGAACATGGGGATGTAGTTATCGTTCAAAATGAGATTTTGTTTTCTTTGCCTATATAATATATACCCAGAAGTGGCATTGCTGGATCAGTTTTGTTTTAATTTCTTGAGGAATTTCCATACTCTTTCATCCAATGGCTCTGTCAATTTACATTCTCACCAACAGTGCACAGGGTTCCTTTTTCTCAATGTCCTGGCCAGCACTTATTATCTTTTTTCTTAATAGGTTTGAGGTAATATATTCTTGTAGTTTTATTTGCATTTTTCTTGATGATTGGTTATATTAAGCACCTTTTTCATGGACTTATTGGCTATTTTATATCTTATTTGGAAAAATATTTATTCAAGTTCTATACTGATTTTTAAAATTACAATATTTGTTCTTTTGCTATTGAGCTGTATCTGTTCCTTACATATTTTGGATATTGACCCCTAATCAGATAAATGATTTGCAAATATTTTCTCCCATTCAGTAAGTAGGTTGCCATTTAATTTTGTTGATTGTTTCTTTTGCTGTACAGAAGCTTTTAAATTTGATGTAGTTCCTACTTGTTTGTTTTTCCTTTTGTTGCTTGTGCTTTTGGTGTCAAATCCAAAAAATTATTGCCAGTCCAATGTCAAGGCAATGTTGCTTTTCTTTTGCTCTTTCAAAGTTCTATTTTTATCTACGATGTTTGTAAATTTCATTATAATGTGTCTCAGTGTAGTACCTTTTGGCTGCAACCCATTTAAAGCTCTTGAGCCTCATAAATCTGAATATTTATTTCTTACCCCAAGTTTGGTAAAGGGACAATCTCAGAGGGAATAGGGGAAGGAGAAAAGGGGGTGCAGGGAGAGATTAACCATAGAACTTATATCATATTTGTATAACCCATGAACATAGCATTGAAGGCCTGGGGGAGGGGGCAGAAGGGTGAAGTGGGTCAATGGGGGGAACAGGGGACATCTGTAATACTTTTAACTATAAAGATAATTTTGAAAAAATAAACTGTACATAAGCAATAAATATTTACATAAATAATTTTTTTAAAAATATACGAAAGTACCTAGTTAAAAAGAAAAAAAAAGACTTTCTGTTCCTTTCTCTTTCTCGTCTTTTGGGATTTCCATATACATTGGATCTTTTGTCCCATAAGTTCTATAAGTTATTTTCACTCTTTTTCATTCTCTGTTCTTTTTTCTCTGACTAGGTAATTTCAAATGATCTGCCTTTGAGTTCACTGGTTCTTCTCTTTGTTGAGTCTGTTGTTGAAGCTTTCTATTAATTTCTTCATTTCATTCAGTGATTCTTCACCTCTAGGATTTCTGGATGTTTTGTTGTTGTTTTTTAATGGTTTCTGTTTCTCTGCTGAACTTCTAATTTTGTTTGTGTATTATTTTCCTAATTTTGTTTAGTTTTCTGTATGCTTTTGTAATTCACTGAACTTCTTTGAAAGGATTATTCTGAATTCTTTGTCAGATAGTTCAAATCTCCATTTTTTACAGTCACTTATTAGAATTACTTTTGGCGATGTCATATTATCTGATTCTTCATGATCTTTGTGTCCATGTGCAGGTATCTGCACATTTGAGTATGTGGTTTCCTCTTGCAGACTTTGTTTTGGCAGGGAAAGACCTTCACGAGTCAGCTCAGCTTAGTGGGGTACTGAATGAGTCACCTGGTAGTGTCTAAAGCAGGGGTGGGCAAACTTTTTGACTCGAGGGCCACAATGGGTTCTTAAACTGGACCTGGAGGGCCAGAACAAAAGCATGGATGGAGTGTTTGTGTGAACTAATATAAATTCAAAGTAAACATCATTACATAAAAGGGTACGGTCTTTTTTTTTTTAGTTTGGCCCGCGGGCCGTAGTTTGCCCACGGCTGGTCTAAAGGGAAGTGAGATTCCTATTGTGTTCTCTAGTTATGCGAAGCCACAGCAGCTTCGAGGTTGGGAGTGGGGTGCTGCTGGCTGAGCTTCATGGTTGGGTGGGGCTTGTAGCTGGGCTCCATGTTCAAGTGGGACTGCTGGGTGGGCTCCCTGGTCAGGTGGGGCCAGTGGCTATTTTCTACAGTTAGGTAAGGCCTCTAGCTATGCTCTGTAATCACCTCTGGTCAGGCAGGTTCACAGGCTTTGACCCTTGGCAGAGCATTGCCACCAGTGGGATTGGATCAGGCTGTAGGCCAGTGATGGCGAACCTATGACACACGTGTCAGAGGTGACACGTGAACTCATTTTTTGGGTTGATTTTTCTTTGTTAAATGGCATTTAAATATATAAAATAAATATCAAAAATATAAATCTTTGTTTTACTATGGTTGCAAATATCAAAAAATTTCTATATATGACATGGCACCAGAGTTAAGTTAGGGTTTTTCAAAATGCTGACACGCCAAGCTCAAAAGGTTCGCCATCACTGCTGTAGGCTATGCTCTGTATTGCTCTCGTTGGGTGGGGCCTCAGGCTGTGCTCCCTGACCAGATGGTACCACCATCTGGACTTCACATTCAGGTGGGGCTATAGACCAGGCTTCATCAGATGGATCGTCAGGCTGTGCTCTGAGATCAGGTAGGACTGCAAGCTGTGCCCTAAGGTTTGGCAAGGCTGCAGGCTGAGCTTTGTGTTCAGGTAAGCTGTTGACTGTCCTCTGCTATTGGTTGAGGTTGCTGGCTTAGGTGATTCTTGTTAAATTTGAGCTCTTTAGGACATGGACAAGCTTGGGGCCTACCTGGAAAAGAGCTCAGAGGAGACTTACTAGAGTTTAGTTAAGGAGAGAATCTTATCACTGGATTCAGTTTTCTAATGTTTATTGGATTTCTGCTCTATGTTCCTAAGAGAAATTGATTCACAGTTTTCTTTTTGTACCATCTTTATCTGGATTTGCTATCTGTGTTATGACAACATTTGCTTAGTGTTTAGTCTGTTTAACAAATCTTGCTACTTTTCCCTTAATTTTTTTCTAATTATCTGTGTTGCTGTTATGCCAGTTTCTTTCTCTCTTTTTTAAATCATTTGTCAGTAAATGAATTGAATTTTCTTAGAATAATTATTGGTAAGACGATTCTGTGGTTTGGGAAGACCTGGGAGGAGTTTTAGTTTTGCTTGTTTTTTTACAATGCAAAGATTTCTTTTTTCCCACTACTATACAGCATTTTTGCAAATAAGCTAGTTGTGTTAATTTTTTAGATATGAAATCTAGAAATTCTATTTGCCTCTTAATTCCAATGGAAATGACAATATTGAGTTTTCATTGTTGGTGGTTTTTGTTTGTTCATTCATTTTTATTTTAAATTATTTCCAGGAGAAAGAGAAGAAAATACTTAGCTGGTACCAGAAATCTTGTCTTACTTTGATACTGACTGTAACAATTTTTTTCCACTTGCAGTTATAAAAAGTTGATGTCTTTGAAAAGAACTGATACTGATATAAGACCGAAGATCAATTTAAAATTTAGCACAAAAGGTATTATTTTATTTTTATATACCTTCTATTGAAAAGTGTGTTAAAATTTTTTACTTACTCTGTACAGAGTATCATGCCCTTAACAACCATGTGTATCATGCCATTAACAGCCATGTGTTTGTCATTCATTGGCAAGCATTTACACTAGCAAGCATTACTTGATATAGGTTAGAATTTATGGACAGAAAGATCAGCAGTTGTATGGGTCTCACAGTACCTTGGTATTCTATAGAGAGCTTCGCTAATCTAGTGCATAGCTGTGACTTCACAATGATATTGGGCTTCAGCAGATTCTCTACCAATCCTCCCTTGTTGCATTCCCTTTTAACAGAGCAAATGGAAGGAATGAACATTTTGGATTCAAGACCAAGTAGTCTAAACTCAGTTACTAGCTGTTTAGGAATATGTGCTAGGAAATGCCAGCTACTCAGCACATGGAAACCTTAGGGTCCTGGTCCCATAGAAGAATAGTGTGGTGGCATTCCTTCTTGCTAGGGGGAATGGTTGTCCCTGATCTCAGCCTTATTTGGCAAACCACAGAAATCTCCCTGGGTCATTTGTTTTGTAACCTTGCTTGCCTTCACAGTGTATGTCAAGTATATCAAGCAAGAATATTCATTTAAAATTCTCTGAAACACAGGATAAAATAATGAAGCTGCATTTTATGATAAATATAATTTTACATTAATACAACAAGTATACCATCATTTACAACATTCTTACTACTTTCTAATTCATCTCAGTTTAATTTTCTTCATTGGAAGTGCTACCAAACCAGAAAAATACTGAACAGTTAAGTCTCATGCCTTACTCCATTTCATTGATGAAATACCCACTTAATCATTACTCTTTTTTTAGAGCATAAGAACATGAGATTTATTACATAAGTGTCTCAGACTTTAATAGCTATTTACATCATCTGGTGATTTTGTTAAAATGTTAGGTAGCCAGTTCAGTTGCTCTGGGGTGCAGCCTAAGAGTTTCCTTTACTAACAGGCTCCCATATGGATGCTGATGCTGCTGGTTCATGGTCTACACTTTGTGTAAGGCATTATATCACTTTAAATCTTTTGATATAGTTCTGTGTTGTGGAGCCAGTAGCCATATGTGGCTATTTGAGTTTAAGTTAATTAAAATTAGATAAAATTTTAAAATCAGTGTCTTTGTCAGACAAGCAGCATTTTCAGTGTTCAGTGGCTAGTGGACAGTGCGAATCTAAAACATTTTCATAAGTTCTCTTGGGCAGTGCTGATTAAGATAAAATATAATCGCCTGAGTAAAGTATAATTAAACACTGGCAGTCATCATTCTTGACAATCTTCAGAATACTTTTATGCTATTTGGTTGCCAAAGTTTATTTGCTTGAACAAAACCCTGAGTTGTTGAAAGGCTTCTGTGGTGATCATTTTTTGTGATTACTTTTGCTTGGGGATATAATATTTTTCTTTGAATTTCTGACAGCTAGACAGATAGCAGCATGCATATTGAGTACTGGCTATGGCAAAGCACTGTACTTTACTTCATTCTTTTGTGCTAGTCTCTGTCCTATAGGAAGGAGCTAATAAGATGTAATACAGAAGACCACATAGGAAAATAGCATTAATGTGGAATGTTTTGACTTCTCAAAATTCATTTTCAGATGAAATGCCTATCTTCAAACTTGATTATAATTATTTCTATCATCTGCTTCATATAATTATTATTTCTGGTACTGACATTGTCCGGAAAATATTTGATGAGGCTCTGCCACCCCCTCTTTTGAAAAAAGAGCTCCTTATTCACAAGAAACTGCTGGAACCCTACTACAAACATCTTTGGACTAATCACCCTTTGGGTGGAGCATGGCATCTGCTTTATCCCCCAAAGAAGAAGCTACCACAGTCCAAACAATTTGACTTATACCTCCTATTAGCTCTCATAAAACATTTGCATGTATTCCCTGCACCTAAAAATGGCTGGAATATGGAACCACCATCTTCTGATCTCTCTAAGTCTGCAGACATCCTGAGGCTGTGCAAATACAGGGATCTCCTCCTTAGTGAGATTTTGATGAATGGTCTCACTGAGTCACAATTCAATTCAATTTGGAAAAAAGTTTCTGATACTCTTCTGCGCCTTGGAATGAAGCAAGAGGATATTGACAAAGTGAAGGAGAATCCCATTGAGAATATCTCCCTTGATTACCATCAGCTGTCCATCTACCTAGGTATACCAGTACCAGATATCATCCAGAGGATGTTATCCTGCTATCAACAAGGTACAAAATAATTACTTACTTCAGCCAGTAAACCTTCATTTAGTGTCTGCTATGTGTCAGACACAGTGCTAAGGGCAGGAGATTCAGTGAACTCACACTCTTGAGAGAATAGACTCTTCAAGAAGCTAATAGAAATTATAGTGCTAGAGATGATCCAGAATACTTTGGAAAATCTTGCTTAAGAGAGTCCAAAAGAACTTTCTGGAGAATAGAATATTTAAGGAATTCCCACATCACATGTGAATGTTAGCCAAGTGAAGAAGATGGAGAAGAATGTTTCAGAAGGAATCAAGAACAAAGATATAGAAACATGCAGGGAACTAAAAGTTTGGTCTTAAAGTAGGGGAGCATTCGTAGAGAGAATACATTCAAGAGGATTTCTCTTACCATGTTGAGGGGTTTGTATTATCAGGAAGGAATTGCTGAAGATTTTTAAGTAGAAGAGTTTTATTCTACAAAATTAAGGATGCCTAAAACCATGAAATACTGCTACTGTGTGTTTCAAAGTTACCCTTTTAGACGTCATGAGTGTGTGTTTCTCCTTTTCAGCAAATTCTTGATGTTTATGTAGTTGGCACCTACCTAGTGGCCATGGGTAATTAAAAAAAGATAACATTTATGCAAGTATCAAAGGTAAGTAGGGCCAATCCCAGGCACTATGTTGATATGGAAAAGACTTCAGACCTCTCCCACGTATCAAGATAGCCTCTCAGTTTCAACAAGCGGAGTTCAAGGCATGTCAGCATCACCGAAACCCTTGTTCTGTTCTAAATTACTTCTCCTGACCCCAAGTTATTAGTCATACTACCTAGTGAGCAACTAATTGATAACTACACTGATGCTATTTAAATGTACAACTTCCAAAGTTTCTAATAATTGTTGAATAGGTCCAGATTTGTTTCAGAGAAGATTGCTAGGTCCCTATCCCATTCCTTTAAGGCTCTGGGATACCCTTGTGTTTTCTACTTAACCTTAAGAGCTTGCTTTGAGCATAAAAGAAGAGAATGCCAAGGTTTTTTTAAGAAAGTTAGGAAAGGACTCTTGACTTATAAATTATAGGCTTTTAAAATATATATTTACTCTGTTAAGATTTTAAACAACAAAAACTCATGAGAATAAAGCCAATATCTGAGAAAGTACTTTGAGCACTAAAAAAATTCAAGGCATTTCAAGAATTCTCAGGTAGTCTGAAGAACTTATTGGTCAAGTCCCTTTAATAGAGACTTTCCTAGCATCTTATATAACTCTTTCCTAGTAGTTGTTACAGTAACAGTTGCAGTTTTCACTTGTGTATCTGATTATTTGATTAATATCCTTTGCCCACACTAAACTTCTATGAAGGTGTCTTTTTTTTTTATGTACTATTCAATATCTAGAGCCTGATATAATATTAACTAGAGGCTTGGTGCACAAAATTTTGTGCACTGGGGCAGGGTGGGGGCATCTCTCAGCCAGGCCTGTGCCCTCTCACAGTCTGGGATCCCTCTCGCAGTCCGGGACCTCTCACTCCTTACTGCCTGCCTGCAGCAGAGGCGGGAGAGGCTCCTGCCACCACTGCTGCACTCGCCAGCCATGAGCCCAACTTATGGCTGAGCGGCGCTCCCCCTGTGGGAACGCATTGACCACTAGGGGACAGCTCCTGTGTTGAGTGTCTGCCCCTTGGTGGTCAGTGCATGTCATAGCGACTGGTCGTTCTACCTTTCGGGTGGTTTGCATATTAGGGTTTTATTATATAGGATGTGCAAGGAGAATAGAGTGCTGGTCAGGATAATTAATATTGCTAAAAAGGCTCAAACTTTCCATGGAAGTTTGACTTCATGACCTTAGACTTTATATATTATAACAATTTGCTGCTTGGTTTAAAGTGCTTGTAATCTAGGCATTATGTATCAAGAACTGTCAAAAATTTTGTTTACTTCTTTTTCTAATCATGGGTTTATAACTTTTATGTTATAATCTAAAGGTCATGCCTTGTTTTAAACTAGATTCATGAGTGAAGCTGATTATTTTTACAGTTAGTTATAAAATAACATGGTGCAGTATAAAAATCTGGTTTTTCTTAGTCCCAGTCATATATTTTTTGGTTGCATTTACAATTATACATCTAAATGTTTTCTTTACCATAGGACTTGCTCTACAGTCAATAACCGGCAGTCAACGTAAGTGTGTTATAAACAAAATGCTTAAGTGACTTTTCAATTTGGGAAAGTTAAGGGATCATTGTAAGGGTCTTACTTGGTCAGATAAACTATATGACCAACTGTCATTGTTATAGCCTTGGAAAATCATGTGTTCAAATTACTACTGGTCAGCTGAATCTAGTTTGAGCCTTTTTACTCTGCTTTGGTCTTAGTGCTAGTGCCGCAAGGTTTACCCAAGCATAGTATTTTAACTTTTTGATACACAGGACACTTCAACAGGCAAACATGCATAACTGCTTGCTCTACTTGTTCATACGTGCTACTTTTCAGCTTATGTAGCTTTTATCTTTTTTGCTGGATAGTGAGTTGTTAATTTTTTAATTTTCATTTTTTTCGTGCTTTATTTTTTTAATATAAAGTATCTTCGCATTTGGGTTCAGGCTAGTATATGTACCTATTATGTGGTCATTGATAAATAGGCATTTTATTTTCGTCTAGTAATTCAACAAAATAAGATGTCTTCTATTTCTACTTCTGGAGTGGTGTTTTGGAGGTATATATTTATAATAATGATAGAAGCTAAAATTGTATGCATTCAAATATTGAGTGTTTTGTCTTTAATATTTAGATATTGACATAGAAGAATTACAAAATGAGGAAGAAGAACTAAGTCCACTTCTCATGGAGTATAATATAAATGTGAAATCAAACCCTGAGATACAGTTAGCAGAAATGAATAAAGATGGTGCATCAATACCTAGTGAATCTTCAACAGAATCTATTAAGGATCTCCAGGAAGTATAAGCTCTTATTAATATTTGAATAAGAAGAACTTTATAATCAGAGCCTTTAGTTTGTTGCATGTGCTATATTTGAAGAGTCCAAGACACTCTTAGTTTATATTTAATAGTGTTCGCACAAAACTTAATATGTAATGGTTTTTTCTCTAGTACTTTATTCCATAATATTTTGTGCCTTAACCATTCATTTCACCAACATTTATTGGACATTTATTATGTGGCAGGCATTATGCTAGACTTGTGAACATGTTTCTTTATTCTGATTGATGGGAGTGGATATGAGAGGTTAATAGAGAGTAGAGGAAAGCATCATGGGGAATAGAAGGAGAGAGAATGGAGGAAAAACAGGAATATTTCAACACCATTTGCACAGAGGTAGATTTAAAATCATCCAGGTTGGAATTCTGTATTTCTTTATAGAAAAGTGGCACCAGTTTTTATACAGTCACTAAATTCTTCTTAGGCTTAATTTTTTATCTTATGGACCTGAATTTTTTGACTTCTTAAAAGTGCCTTCCTCCTTCATTACTCATGCATGCATGTGTGGAAGTGAGGACTTGTGAGTTTTACTCAGTGGCCTACTCACTGACGTTGTTTGTTGTTCCATTATGCATCAGTGCTTTTATTTTAAGAGCAGAAGACTGTGGTGAAAATGAAAAATTTCCATAGAATCTAGAAAGAAAATATGACCTATAATATTAGAAGATAAAAGATTTCAGCATTTAGAGGAAATTTATTTTTTTAAAAAACTTATTGTGCAGTTTGATTTCATATTAAATAAATGATTTATTTCTTACCTATCAGGTTAAGAGTAAACTAATGAAAAAGAAAAAGACTAAAAGTAAAAAGGTAAGAGACTATATTAGCATTATAATAGAGGGATGTCAAATTATGAACAACTTGTGTAATATATGGACTCACTGTTAGAACTTATATAATTATTCTAAGTAGACATACAGTACAAATGACTTAAATTGTCAGTAGCTTATTGAATATATGATTATAAAAAAGTCTATCTGTGTTAGATCCTGAATGACTTAAACTTACAGTGTGCCTATTTTACTTCCCTAAATCATAATTTATACATTTAAATATAAATTAAAGGAATTAGAAATTCCTTTAAATTCTGCATACCACTCTCATTTTTAAAATGTCTGCTCAGTGTTTTAAAAATGGCTTTTCATCATATTTCTACTGATATGTTCAGAAGCATTTTTTAAAACCTTAGAAAATCTTGATTTCTTTTTGTGTTTAATAATCTGCCAACAATGCAGTAATGTGCTAAAATGCTACAAATGTAATAAAACTTCTTTCATGCCTTTTCTTTGTTTTAGCCAATTGAAAAACGAACAGGTTACTATTGCACAGTTTTAGCAAGAAGTTTTTTTAATTGCTTGTAAAATTACAAGGGAAAGCCAAGAGTCATTTTGGGGAAATTTTTTTTTAAAAATTCATACTTTATTTTCAAATTAAAATTAAATAGGGAATAAATACACCTGGAAATAAATGTAAACACCATTCAAAAATTTATACTGTAGTAATATTTTAAATGTCTTTATATATGTCAGCATCTATCTAGGAATTCCTGTGGGGTTTTTTAGTGTTTTTTTTTTTTTAACATCCTAAGTTTTTTTCCAAAGAAGTTGAGCCCTGGCTGGTGTGGCTCAATTGGTTGGGTGTCATCTTGGGCACCAAAAGGTTGCTGGTTCCATTCCAGGTCAGGGCACATACCCAGGTTTTAGGCTCTATTCAAGTAGGGGGCGTGCAAGAGGCAGCCAGTTGATATTCAACTCTCAGATGTATGCTTCTCTTGCTCTCTCCCTCTCCCTTTCTCTCTCGATAAAAAATATATATATATTTTTTAAAGAAGTTGAGATTCTTTGAACATAAGATAATTTTATTAAGATACATTTTGGACATTAGAAGAGAGATCTTAAATATTTTATCTAAATTTTAAGGGCCTAAAAATGCTGAATTTTGGCATATCATCATTTGATATATAAAAGTCCTATTTATATACTCAATTGCTTTTATTTTAAGTGCAAAGAATTGTCTACTTGTAGTATCAGCAAACACTCATAAAAATTAAGTCATTCCAATTCTCTAATCATGAGTTTTCCTCATGAAAAATTCTAGCATATAGAAATTTGCTTGTGTTAACAGAGTGATGACAAAGCCCCTATGCATGAAATTGTGTCTTTTGTTAATTATTTGTTTTGCAACATTTCTACCTAGTGATAGTTCAAGTCCTAAAAATAATGTGATAACAAAGTAAAATAAGTGTAGCAAATGGAGGGTACAGTATAGATAACTTCTAACTAGTATGTACAGAGACTTTGTAGCTACTTTTTATACTCCTTTTCTTCAGTTAGAAATTTAGTATTTAGTTTTTAATATGTTCAAATTGTAAATATCTTTTTGGGCTTAATTTGAGTGTTATTTACTTATATATTATTCTTCCATGAAGAGTATTAACTACTCTTATTCTTGCTCTTACTCCCACCCCCCACCAAAGGAGTTGAGAGTTAGGAATAGAAAAGAAAGGTAAAGAAGATGGCAGAAGAATAGAAGGCTTTGTGATGAAGTTTCGAGATAAAAGAAACATGGCAGGAAATACAGTAAACTGAGGCTTTCAAATTGAATGTCCTCTCTAAAGAAGGGAAGAAGACAGACTGATACATGCATTAGAATAAAGTTAATATACTATATAGAGCTAATACACTATAACTAGGTATGTTCACTATGAACAACCAAAAGTCTTTTCAACTCAATTATTCAGGTACACTGGAACCAAAGGTGTTCATAATTCTTTTTATGTTGTTTTGTTTTATTTTGTTAATCCTCAACCGAGGATATTTTTTCCATTGATTTTAGAGAGTGGAAAGGAGAGTGAGAGGGGGAGAGAGGAGAGAGAGATACATTGATGTGAAAGAGCCACATCAATTGATTGCCTCCCACATGTGCCCCAATGGGGACAGAGAACCTGCCATCCAGGTACATGCCCTTGACCAGAATCGATCCCGTGACTTTTGGGTTTGCAGGCTGATGTTCTAATCACTGAGCCACGCTGGCCAGGGCCCATAATTCTTAATTGTAGAATCAAACTGCCACCGGACATTGATCAGACACTGAAATGCAAAAACCCTCTTGGTATACAGACAGAAAAAACAAACAGATTTGTAAGTACATTATGGAATCTCTAGGTAAAGAGACTGAAGTTTCTTGTAAACAAGAGGTTGTAGAAATCAGTACTGTAACTTATGTAAGAGTAATTAATACTCTTAAAGGTAATACGTGAGTAATTATACTTAATTTAATATGTGTTAAGTATCATCAATACTTACTTAGTATGTTGCTTTCATAGTTCTATTTTAATGAACATAAGATTGAGGGCTTTTTTACATGTCCTCCCAATTGTGATTTCCCTAATATTTCTTTTTTCAAGATTTTTTAATATATAAATCTGCTTTTTTTACATGTTGATTTTCAAGAATTCTTGTATTTAGTATAAAATTTTCTAAATGAGAATTCAGTTTACCCTTTCCCAAGATATAAATTCAGACCCAATACTTAACTTCCAATATCTGAATCAATGATTTTCAAGTGTGTTTCATTACTTAGTAGTAGATTACAAAATCAATTTAGTGGGTCACAACTACCATTTTTAAAAAGGAAATAGAATAAGTAGGAATAAAAAAGTTTCCAGAGTTCATCATCTGTTGTTTTAGTCAGGTTGGACTGCTAAAATAAGCTTCGATAGACTGGGTGGCTTAAAAATTTGTTTCTCACAGTGCTGGAGTCCAAGATCAAGGTGCCAGCAGATTTGGTGTCTGGTGAGGGCCCTCTTAGTTTGCAGACAGCTATCTTCTTGTTCTGTGAACACATGGCGGAGAGAAAAAAAGAGTAGCTCCCTGATCTCTTTTCATAAGTGCACTAATTCCATTATGAGGACTCCACAACATCATTTTAACCTAATTACCTCCCAACGGGCCTACTTCCAGTTACAGTCTCATCGGGGTTAGCGTTTCAATGTGTGAATTTGGGGAGGGAATACAAATATGCAGTTCACAACACACATAATATGGATGAGGTTTACTTCATGGAACTTATATTTGTTTTTTAATTATGTGTAAAGACAAATGCATTTACATCATTAGGTAAAATATATTTCTTAGAATGGTTGTGGTAAAAAATGTTTGAGAAATACTGACTTAAATGTAGTCAGATCACTCTTCTGTATTGACATGGTTGGATATAAATTACTAATTCTTGATGCTGTTTTTCAGAATAAGGAATCAAAAGAAGAACAAGTGTAAGTATTAGTTTATTTAATTTTTAAATGTTTCTTAGTAATTTCAAAATGTGCTTTGCCAGTATGACACAGCCTTGCCTTGGGAAGTGTTCTCAGTAAGAGAAGAAAGGACAGTTCCTTAATAAGTTGTCACCATTTACAGAAAGTGAAAAAAATCAACATCATTTACTTTGGTAGAATAGAATCTCTTATCATTTTTCTATGAGGCTACTCAGGAGTCATCCATTGCTAACAGCTTGACTTGAGAACTAATTTGGGTCCAGCATAAAATCTTTTTTTTTTTTTAATTAAATACATTTTATTGATTTTTTACAGAGAGGAAGGGAGAGGGATAGAGAGTTAGAAACATCGATGAGAGAGAAACATCGATCAGCTGCCTCCTGCGCACCCCCTACTGGGGATGTGCCTGTAAGCAAGGTACGTGCCCTTGACCGGAATCGAACCTGGGACCTTTCAGTCTGCAGGCCAATGCTCTATCCACTGAGCCAAACTGGTTAGGGCAGCATAAAATCTTTTAAAATATAGTCTAGATTTGCTAACCACAACCCAAGACTTTACTAAATAAGACTTATTTAGTAAATAAAACTTAACTCTAAAGGACAGAATATTGTTTGTCCCACTGATTATTTTAGCATGAGTTTGTTTTTATTTGTTTTAATTTAGTTTGTTTAATTAACCTGAGGTTTGGTGTGTGTTTTTTAAATCTTGATTATTAACAGTGAATTTTGAATCTTTACTAGAAACCTTTTCGTATCTAAAGATTACTGTGAGCTATATTGTACAGCCATTAGACTGATGACAGTGTAGCAGAGGAAGGAAGTGGGGGAGACAATCCAATGAAGAGATCATTATACTCTCCAAAAAGTTTCTTCACTGAAATTGGGACCTTTGCAGAACTCATTGTGAGAACATGTTATCTTTAAAATGCAGACAAATACATACATATTTTGTCAACTTTCAAGCCATCACTTGTAGTTGATATTTTCTCATTGTTAATTGATATGATCCACTTAATAACTAAATAGTTCATCATCCAAGGTGGATTTTCACTTTCTCTGTCAACAATAGAGAAAGCCTTTACAGCAATGATTTTCAACTGGTGTGCTGCAAGAATTTTTAAAAATATGCAATATTTGACTATTTAGTCAGGAGCACTGACCTCTTTTCCCTTAGACTGTCATATTAAAAAAATAACAACAACCAACACAACAGTAACCATTGGCGTGAATGAGTAAATATTATACCAAGTTTTTTTTTCAGATTGGCAAAAAATATATTTTTGGTGTGCTGCAGATTTTAGTAATTTTTATGTGTGCCATGAGATGAAAAAGGCTGAAATTACTGCCATAGAATAATAGGGTGTTTTTTTTCTTTAATTTTCAGGCTGTGTGTAAATGTCATGAAAATAACTTACTAAAGAATATAATAATATCATCAGTCATTTTGCTTATTTTGCCTACAGTGTAGACCTAAACCTGTTTGATCATCAAATCACCCAGGGAGCTTTTTAATAAAAATGTTCAAATACACAGAAAAGTAAAGAAAATAATATGTCTACATTAGTACATCTACCTATCTTCTCAATTTAACAGTTATTACTATTTTCCACATTTGTTTCATTCTTTCCTTAACATTTTGTTCTTTGTTGATGGGTTTTCAATCCCTAAGTTTATGTAATTTTACCTCTGCATGTTTCAGTTTGCATCTCTTAGTACTATGAACATTTTCCTATATTTTCACAATGCTGTTAATCATACTTTAAAAATTTAGGAATAATCTTCTGGACTTTTCAAAAATACAAATGTGTATATATTTTTACAGTTTTGGGGTACCTGGAACAATGTAAATTTAAAAAAAATTTTCAGGTAATTTAGAAAATCAGTTTTGTTTGGGATCCATTGGTATACAAACAGTTGATTTCATTGAACTTTCCAAAATGTTTGAATCATTCTGGAATACTTAAGTGATACCTAATGAGTGTTTTCTAGTGTCTTACAAGTTATTCTACAAGCAGTAGGTTTCAATTTTCTTAGATCTCAGTGGCCTAAAAGAAATAATAATGCATCTGAGAGTTACCTTTTTTTTTTTTTTCCTATTCACTGAGAAAATCAAGTCATTTATATCATGGTAAAAGTACTATTTTTTAAGTATTATTTTTTTGTTACCATTCAATGAGATTAGGAAGGAAATTTATAGCTACTAAATAGTAGCCAACTGAAAGGATAGTAATATGCATTGACCCTTTAGACATCCTATATAATAAAAGCCTCATATGCTAAGTGTGTGGTCTTTCGTTCAACCAATCAAAGCGTAATATGCTAATGATATGCTAAGGCCGCTCAACTGCTCGCTATGATGTGCACTGACTACGAGGGGGCAGACACTCCGACTGGTAGGTTAGCTTGTTGCTGGGGTCCAGGACTGAGTGAAATGGGTCGGACGTGCCCTGGAGCCCTCCTATGGTCCCTCTCTGGCTGGCCAACCTCCCACATTCCTCCCCAGCCCAGATTGTGCACTGGTAGGGTCCTTCAGCCTGGCCCGCACCCTTTCGCAATCCGGGACCTCTCTGGGGATGTGGGAGAGCCAGTTTCGGCCTGATCCCACAGGCCAGGCCAAGGGACCCCACTGGTGCACGAATTCATGCACCAGGCCTCTAGTAGGTATAATAATGGTTTAATTGCCATTGTACATGTAATATTTTTATGTTTTTCGCAGTGGTTCCTACTACAGTTTTTTAAGGTCCTGTCATAAAAGAAACATGCATTTAAAAATCTACTTTATGTTGCTGTTTGCAGCCTTCTATTTAAATGTATACTGAACCTAAGTGCTGAAGTTGACTAAATCAACCTACCTGTCAAAAATTTTGTGATAAAATATTATAGTAGATGTGGAAATGCTTGTCAATATTTTCCAAAGTAATTGATGTTAATAGTTACAATTTAGAAAACGAACTTCATGATCTTGTAGTTCTTGAAAACACTGGGATAAGTGCTATTTCAAATAAACTAAAATTCATTGTGATTTTCCAAGAAAATGCAGTCTGAGCACTGTCTAAAATTTAGACCATAAACCCTTCTGATGCTGAGCATCTCATGATACCAGTGCAATATTAATTTAGAAAACAATGGTTTAGATGAAAAACTCCATACAATTCTAAAAGATCACATTGATTTTATCATTATTGTAGCCCAAATATGGTAGGAAAGGAAGAGCACTTGAAGAAAGAGCAAGCAAATCTACACCCAGTAGATATAAGTGGTATTCAAGAAGATTCCACAACTGAAGGAAAGTTCTATAGCCTGGATGAATTGCATATTCTGGACATGATAGAGCAGGTAAGCCTGATTGGGGAGAGGAGCGCTCTGCTTTCCTTCTTCCAGAAATAATTGTAAACTTTGTTCGCCTCATGACTCTTTGAACAGCACGTTAGCCTAGTGGTTTATTCTTGTGTTTGTGAGGAGAAAAACAACACACAACACAAAACAAAACAGGAAGGGAGGGGCAGAGGGATGAGAAAGGAAAAAAGTTTAGGAACTAGAAACTTTCATTTTACCCCTCAAGCCATTTCTTGGTTTTAATTATTGTCAGAGTTGATTACAACTGTATTTCTTGCAAAGGGGTTTCAGCTACCTCAGAAGAAGGGGCAAAACTGGCATAATCCCATTAGATTACATTTCATGAGAAATATAGTTTTGCAAAACAAAGCTACTTTCATTGTTTTTTTAGTTAAACCTTGTTGTTACCATGAAATGTCAGTGTAATACAATCTTTTCTTTGGTTCCTTTCCTGGTAGTAATCTCATTGCTGGGGATGAGATACCTATATGTGAAAATGCACATGAATATGATTTAAGTACTTTACACAGCACTTAATCTGACAAAGCATATGAAAGGTTTTTTTTTTAAAAAGAAATGCCTTGATTTTCATACCCATGAAAATTCTATACTGAGATAATTTTATGATAACCTGATCCATGGTTAAATATAATGATATGTATTATGTTGACAATATTGATTGTATAAGGCAGTGGTCGGCAAACTGCGGCTCGGCAAACCGTGAGCCACATGCGGCTTTGTCCCCTTGAGTGGGGCTCTTCCACAAAATACCGGCTCTTCCACAAAATACCGTGCATGGGCCACGAAGTTTCAATCGCACTGTACGTGCGCGCCCACACATGGTATTTTATGGAAGAGCCACACTCAAGGGGCCAAAGAGCCGCATATGACTCGTGAGCCGCAATTTGCCGACCACGGGTTTAAGGGTACAGTTAGCACAAATGATTCCCTGGCTGATAGTACAGTCCTATATAATAAAAACCCTAATATGCAAATTGACCGAACGGTGGAACAACCAGTCGCTATGATGTGCACTGACCACCAGGGGGCAGACGCTCATCACTGCGCTCCCACCAGGGGAGCTCCACTCAGCCAGAAGCCAGGCTCACGGCTGATGAGCGCAGCAGAAGTGGCAGGAGCCTCTTCTGCCTCTGCTGTAGACAGGTGGTAAGGAGTGAAGGTTCCTGGACTGCGAGAGCCTCAGACTGCAAGAGGGATGTCTGACTGCTGGCTTAGGCCCAATCCTTGGCAGGCGGACATCTCCGAGGGGTCCCGGACTATAAGAGGGCGCAGGTCGGGCTGAGGGGACCCCCCCCTCCCGACAGAGTGTAAGAATTTTGTGCACGGGACCTCTAGTGTTCATATAATTGTCACACCTTTTTTCTTCTTTCCAATTATAATATTACTAGAGGCCCGGGGCGCAAAAATTTTTGCACTGGGGGGGGGGGGCC